GGTAGGGGTTGAAAGAAGATTCAGAATCGATGTGGACGATAAGACGCGATAATAACAATCGGGATAACGATTGCCCCAGTATCGACCATTATTTAATACGGCATGTCAGGGGCGTCAACATATGATCTTGCAAAGAATGTATTCAATTCAATTAACCTGTTCTGTTCTGCCTCTTCATTCTATGCCCCAGCCTCTTGATATCAGGAGGCACGACAATCAGTTCATTCTGCACTATCTGATTTGCTTACGGACGATCAATTCCTCGGCGGGTTTTATGCGTATAAAATTCCCTGCAGAGCGGATATTTGCCAGCGTGGCGGATTTTACCAACATTTGACCGTACATATGGGAGTTGCCATCCCCTGAATATCCCAATTCGTCATAGAGGGGGTCCCATATGGGAGATCGATTGCGGTTCTAGCCAAGTTTCAGGGCTCTTTAACACATAATACTCGATACATCCATCACCCCTTTCGATTAGGGGGTGGAGACAGAGTGTGGCGGTGCGTAATTGTATAACGGTCATTAACAAGGTGGATCTGCCCGCCTCTCACAATTTGGTAAATTCTGCCACTCGTTACGCCACCGCCCCTGTAAATTCGCTGTAACCATACTTTCAGGACGCCCCCTTGGGCGTCCGGACCGGTGGACATAGGTGACACTTATTTCAGCTTTCACTCTATCAACTCTCTATTCTATCCAGCGGTCTTTTCCTTCTCTTCTTTTCTCTGTGATGGATTAACCGCTTTTGGTGTCCTTTCGTTCTTTTGCCAGCCTTCCTCTCCTTTTTCTACGGGTAATTTTGCCCTTTTCATCTTTCATAGATCAAATCACCCTCAATCATGTCGAAGACACGTCCTGCCACCTCGGGATATGCCCGGCTCGCCCAGGCCGAAGAGGAACGAGGGTACCTTCACGATGACTCCGAAGACGACGATATCGGCGCGTTCTCAGTAGCGTCCACCTCCGCTCCCCGATACGCTCCCGTCTCCTCCAGAGCCCAGATGCAGGCGTCCGGTCTCCACACTCCACCAGGCCATCGACGCAGACACAGTGGTTTCCATCGAGGTCGTCGGAACTCCGGGGTAGATATTAAGGCTATCAATGCGCGTCTCGAAAAATGGGCGGACGAAATTGCCTCCAAATTCAAGATCAACCGTGTCAAGGGCAAAAGCTATGAGGAAGAGAAGCTGGAGATTTACCATTCAGTCTTCCAGGCGCCTCCCGGAGTTACGCCCGTGAGTGCCGAGGCTCTCGAGTCAGATGAGTTTGAGGGTCAGCAACGGCGGGCTCGCGCCGAGTACGAGGAGATTATCGAAAGTGTGCGTCTTGCGATTGAAATGGACGTACATCCTCGGATGATCTCACAAGGAAGCTCGGGCAGCTACTTTGCTCGAAACCCTGAAGGGAAAGTAGTGGGCGTGTTCAAGCCAAAGGACGAAGAGCCGTACGCCTCACGAAACCCAAAATGGACAAAATGGATTCACCGCAACTTGTTCCCCTGCTTTTTCGGGCGTGCGTGTCTTATTCCCAATCTCTCATACGTCTCCGAAGCTGCCGCATACGTTCTCGATGCCCGCCTGCGCACGAACCTCGTCCCCTACACCGGTATTGTACGACTGTCCTCGAAATCATTCTTCTACGATTTCTGGGATCGGAGAAAAGCTTGGAAAGGCAAGAAAGTTCTGCCTCCCAAGGCTGGCAGTTTCCAAGTCTTCCTCAAGGGATTTAAGGACGCCAACATTTTCCTCCGAGAACATCCCTGGCCTGACCAAACGAATACTGGATTCCGCGCCGAGGACGCCCCAAAGCGTAAGAAGCGGCCATGGAACGAGGCCTGTCGTCCGTCCGGGGCGCAGTCAGATGACGAGGATGACGAAGATCCGGGCTATGTGCCCTCGCCCGCCGGTTCGCGTGACGAAAGTGCGGAGCGCCGATTCTACTGGACCGAGAATCTCAAGCAATCCTTCCGCGAAGAGTTGGAGAAGCTTGTGATTCTGGATTATATCATGCGAAATACCGACCGAGGTCTGGACAACTGGATGGTCAAGATTGACTGGGGGACAGAGCAGGTGTCTATCGTGGCGGAGCCCCCAAAACAAACTGGGCCACAGCCTAAGCACGATGAAGACGAGCTTATGCCCCCAGCTCGTCCTGTTTCCGTGAATTCCAATGGCACCCCCAATCCCTCCTTCCACCCCTACAAGCGACACGAAACAATGATGGCTATCAGTCGCACGGGAACTCCACTAGCCTCATCGGAACAGTCAGCTTCTGTCCAGCTTGGTGCCATTGACAACAGTCTGTCCTGGCCATGGAAACACCCAGACGCTGTAAGTTTTCGAATTTAATGAATTACAACTTTCCAGCACTAACAACTCATAGTGGCGCAGTTTCCCCTTCGGCTGGCTTTTCCTGCCAGTTTCCTTGATCGGACAACCCTTCTCGCAGAGAACCCGCGAGCATTTCCTTCCATTGCTGACATCCACAGCCTGGTGGAGCGGTACACAGATGGCCTTGCGCGGTATCTTTGCGCAAGATGATGATTTCAAGGAGAGCATGTTCGCTCGACAGATCGCTGTTATGAAAGGGCAAGCCTGGAATGTGGTCGAAACATTGAAGCAGCCCGATCATGGCCCGCTTGAGCTGACTCGACGGACCCGAGTCTGTGTATGGGATGACTTGGTTGACGTCCCCGTTGCTATTCCGATGCGCGCGCCTTCCACAGACAGGCAAAGGAACCAATCTATGAATTACGACCCTGATGAAGAAGAGATGGATATTGGTGCATCCGCATCTTCCCAACCAATCCCGCAACACGATTTATTGGGATTGAATTCGTCGCCAAGCGACCTCCCCAACCCAAACCGGTTCGAACTCACCCGTGGTCGAACTGACGCTGACAGCGAACGTGCTGATGGTTCTGTCGGTAGCCCTGCGACTATAAATGACTTCGGCGGCCGAAACACCGGGGGTTCTCTAGATGGGTGGCCTTCACTTCCTCCCCGCCAGCATAAGCATCGCAAAAACGGCGGTCCCATGCCCTTCCGCGTTCCTAATGTCAACACATTTGGCAGTGATGATCTCGAAGGTGACCTTGGCTATGCAGTTGCAGAGGGCATGGAAGGCAACCAGCGCAAGGTGATTGTCGAGCGCCTGGAAGCCGTCAAGAGCAAAAATCCTGTTTTCACCTGGTGCTAAAGGTTGAAGTGTGTCGTACTACCCTTCTCACTTTTTGTTTTTCCACATTCCTGCATTACTTCTTCATTTAATTTACAGCTATCTTCTGCGGCGTTGTATACTCGGGGTATTTTGTTGCGTCCCGTCCTTCGGGCAATGGTTCCCAATTCCTGCCCGCGATTTCGACCGTGCCTTCTTTTTCTGTGACATTTCACACGAGTCCTTTGCTGGACATGCTCATGATTTGGGAGATTTTGTATATAGACATTCTCTGGCTGTTGGGGTTGCCTTGGGCTGTGGCGCATTGATTGGGCGATCTGCCTCATGTAGCATATTGACGAGACTTAATTCCATGATACCTTCATCTTGTATTCTTTTGGTCAACTACATACCTAGGTAGGTACACTAGGTAGGTCCACCGGTATATTGACCAGGTTAGCTAATAACGACATGTGACTGCAGTAGTCATGTCACAAGATATCCATGGATAAATCATAAACCAGCCTAGGGAGTGACGGGATAGCCAGTACTCGGCTTCTGGTGCTCCTCAGTTAGTACTATATCATAGTGTTGAAAATAAAGTCGGGGTTGGACGCAATATTCCCTCATGTAAGACTCCGTCGACTGCTTCGATTACATTGTTTTGTGAGACATCATCTTAGCCATCGCAAACACGTCTGGGCTAGGCTCAAACAGATAAGCAGTCCATAAACGTGACGATGCACCTGTTTAGATAGCATATTCCCTTAAGTAAAGCATCATAGAAGGACGCCAAAAAAAGGTACCCAAGCCTCAAGATCCAATAAATCTCCAGAGTCTACTCCGTATAGAGAATGGGAGACCTCGGGACCTCATATATTCATGTCACGTGTCTAGATGCATACATATATTGTATGTACATTTTTTTGCTCTCTTATATTTTCAATCTTTCTTATTGGACTCAACTCCCCAGCTTTCTTCTAAGTTGATATAAGTCCATTCAAGTACTTCCAAGGTCCACCACACTAAGACAACCGTAAGCGCGCGCGCGGACTCCAGGGCTGATAAGGCCTTATCGGCGGGTTTCTCCGAGTCATCGACTACAGCGGAGGAACTTCGTCATTTCTAACGACACGACAGGGCGTGCGACTGACTCGAGCAAAGAAGTCGCGCGAACCGAAAGACCCACCACCAGAACACTCGAGGCCAAGGACACTCCCCTCGACCTACGCAAGAGCCGCCAACGGACCTGATCACGAAACCTTCGACGAGGCAAACGACAAGGCGCCGACTGGATTGCGACCAGGAGAACGACGTGTTTTACCCTGAGATATAAACGTTGATGGCTGCGACAACAGCGCAACTACTGTTGCCCGCGCTTCTCTTCTGTATCTCTCACTTTCAATGACGCCGGAGATTTCGCGACTCTCGCGTCTGGAAGACGCACCTTTCGTTGACCAAACCATTTGCTTTATCACTACGCTGCGACGTTGAATTTAATACATGGTATCGAGGGCCAAAAAACTTGAACTTGATTGATCTGATCTCACAAGCAAAACCTACAACAAGTCAGACGGATAATCCATCCCAAATCGCAATCGCTGATCTCTCATCCCAAACCACCTGACCGCTGCGAATACTTCTCAAATTTGAGCTTGGACGTAAAGCTTCCCATTCTGAAGGAACCTGGTCCTGGATTTCCATCAACAGCAAGTGGAACAAATACCCAGCCCTGTTGCCCCTCTCATCAACTAACTTCCATCAGTTCGCTTTCACAGCACCGCGCAACTTTGAATCCGACCAAACCCTATCCGGAATTTCTCGATCACAGATAAGAAATTATGGCGTCTCATGCTGCGATGCTCCTGAATCCCAAGGGTGCCAAACGACAAGCCCAAAGCAATGGTAATCATCCCCTTTCTTCTTCCCCAGCGAGTGGTTTGCCACCCACGGATTCTGTCGCTATGTCCTGCGAGCCTCCCTCGGAAAAATCTCGGCCTATGACTTATTCTCCTGCGCTTGCTTCTCCTGATTCCCCTGGTGCCTCTTCTCGCGCTTCTACCCTCCCGTGTGCGGACGCAATGGATGTCTTGGCCATGCCTAAAGACCCTCTTGACTCAACGGAGGCGCCTGTCCATCATGACACCGAGATGGATACTCAGCCCATGCCTGCGGACATCATGCATCCAGCTGACTCTTGTGTCCTTTCTGCCCCTCAGATGGATACTTCGCTTATGCGTACGAAGTTTCTTGGCCCAGCTGATTCCTTTTCCCCTTGTGCTCCCAATCCGCTTGGTCCGTGTTCAAGTCTTTCTTCCCACAATTTATCTTCTCTTGTTACTTCTCCGACAGATCCCACGCTTCTCGACTCCAGGGATTCCCAAGGCTTACTTTTGAAAGGTCCAGGAAAGCAGCAGGGAAATGGTTCATCTGTCTCTCCCATGGGTCCCGCAGGCACCACAGCCGTCACACGCATCCATCAACCAAATATTCACACCTTTTCAAATGTGGCGTCGGGAATCTCGACCCCAGCTGAGAAGTCGGAATCCGGCCTGACAGTGCATTTCAGCACCACCAATGACGAAGACGACGAAAGCGACACGAAAAGAAGTTACCGCGAGCTGAGTGATGACGAAAACATCACCTACCGACCCAATTTGATCGAAAATGTCTATGGCGTTGAAAAGCGGAAGAACCAACCGACGAAAAAAATCAAAACCCAGCATGATGTGGAAGAGAAACCGAACATGGTGAAAGCGCCGGTCTCAATATCTGGAGATAGCGGGCTTGGGAAGTGGATGAAAGAGGACGATAGGAAACAAAATCCAATTTCCAGTACACCCAACCTGGTGGATTTGACGACAGGTATGAGATGCTTCATTTTTCCTGTTTCCCCTAGTTTTGTTTGAATTAATCTAATATTGTTCCAGACCTTGTTAGCACAACTAAGGACGATGACGAAGTCCTATGCACCGGTTCAACAGATCTCAGCGCCCAGCGTGTCTGCTTCGGCAAAGTCGAAAACGCAATGATCACCGCCCATTTAGTCCCCAGACCAGGACACTCCGTTTGCACCGACTGGTCGCACGCTTGGCCATCTATTAAATTAGATCTTCAACGCCAGCCGGTGAAGGGCAATTATCAGATTCACGTCGCGGACCCTCATGGTAAAGTTTTCGGTACAATTGACCCTAAAACAGCACAAGGACTATGTCCGCTTCTGGACTCCGAAGTACAAATTATCGAGGTGACAGCCTTATTGGATTTCCGGAGAACCTCGCCGAATGAAGAGATCTGGACTCCCACCTCAGCGCTATGGCGTGCAACCCTCAATATATATGGCCAAAGAAAGCACGCAGAGGCTGTCGGCAAATTCCTATCTCACCGCAATGTCTGGCTAGGGGCTCCAAATTCGGTGGACAAAGGAACTGCTGTATTCAATCCACACGCGGAGAGTCGACGCCAGCTTACTGCCGCCACCAACTCTGCGCGGACTCGCCCAGCGTCAACCGTCCGATATGAAGCGCGAACTGCTGAAGAGGCCAATGATGCAGTCATGAAGATGTTCGACCAGCTCGCCAACGTGAATATTCCGACAATGGAGCCTTCTCGTCATATCAACACACCCTTGCTCCATCATCAAAAACAAGCCCTTTGGTTCATGACAGAGAAAGAAAAGCCGCGCAAATTTGGCCTAAAAGAAGAAGACAACAATTCCTTGTGGCGAATGGAACGTGCACCCAATGGGAGAACTCAATATCGCGAGATCATCACTGGAATGATTTCAGAGCAAAAGCCTGAGGAGGCCCTAGGCGGCTTGTTGGCCGACATGATGGGCCTGGGTAAGACTCTGAGTATCCTTTCGTTAATCACATCATCGCTTGGGTCAGCTGAAGAATGGACCGAGATGGCTCCTGATCCTGTCCTTGTTCGTCGAACTCCAGGGATCCGCAACACACGGACAACACTATTAGTTGTCCCGTTGAGTGCAGTGAGCAACTGGGTTACACAGATCAAGGAACATCTCAAGCCACGCTCCATCGCCTACTATGTCTTTCACGGTCCATCGCGCACCACTGATTTCAAGGAACTTTCCGAATACGATATCATTATCACGACATACAGCACCATTCTCAGCGAGATCTCGGGGCGTGGCGCCAAAAGTGGAAAACTCAGTCCTTTGACGAAAATGAACATGTTCCGGATTGTTCTTGATGAAGCTCATATCATCAGAGAACAAAATGCGGCACAGACCAAGGCGATCCTCGGGCTCAACTCCGAGCGTCGGTGGTCGGTTACCGGAACCCCAATCCAAAACCGCATGGAGGATCTCCTATCTGTGACCAAGTTTCTACGAATTACTCCTTACGATCAACGAAGCCAATTTTCCCAACATGTGTCTAGCCCCGTCAAAAATGGTGACCCTAACGTGCTTGCCAGGCTGCGAGTTCTGGTGGATTCATTCACGTTGCGGCGAGTCAAGGACAAAATCGATCTGCCACCCAGGGAAGACAAAATCATCACACTAAATTTCACCGAGCAAGAACAGCAGTTGCATGACTTCTTCAGGGCGGAATCAAACGTGATGATGAATGTCATTGCTGGTGAGGACAAACGCCAGATTGGTGGCCGGATGTATCACCATGTTTTGAAGGCCATGATGATCCTCCGCCAAGTCAGTGCACACGGGAAAGAGCTTCTTGACATTGCAGATCGGGAAAGAGCCAAGGGATTTTCTGTTAACGATGCGATCGACCTGGAGGAGACCGGACCGGACGAAACTCCGGCAGCCATAGACAAGAAGGCATATGAAATGTTCGCCCTGATTCAGCAAGCCTCGACCCCCCGCTGTGGCAATTGTAATCGAGAACTCGATGAACCTCTGAATTCAATGGGAGCTGTCGCCCGTGACTCTCCGATGGCCATTGTCCTACCATGTTACGATACTTTCTGCCCCGGTTGCTTCTCTGGCTGGAGACCAGCATTCGACTCGCATGCCGACACCGAGACCCGTTGCCCCAGGTGCGAAGGCTGGATCCACATGAAGTACTCGACCATCACGGCTGCTGGTTTTGAAGAATACGAAGCCGAAAAAGAACGTGATCGGCAAACCCGCAATCTGCGCAAGAACTTGGGTGAATACGAAGGACCGCACACCAAAACTACTGCACTGATCAACCACCTCAAGCAAAGTGTTGAAGACAGCAAAAAGCTCGAAGGCCAGTCGCCTATCAAGAGTGTTGTGTTCTCTGGATGGACCTCGCACCTGGATCTCATTGAGATCGCCTTGCAAAACAATGGGCTTGACGGGTTTACTCGACTTGATGGCACTATGACCCTTGCAGCACGCACAAGGGCACTCGAGGAATTTGCCAACAATGACAATATCAAAGTTCTTTTGGCGACCATTGGTGCCGGTGGTGTGGGCCTGAATCTAACCTCTGCCTCACGTGTTTTTATCATGGAACCCCAGTACAACCCAGCTGCCGTTGCTCAGGCGATTGACCGTGTCCACCGTCTTGGTCAAACTCGCCCCGTGCAAACCTTTCAGTTCATTATGAAGGGCAGCATCGAGGAGAAGATACTGGACCTCGCGAGGAAGAAGCAAGAGATGGCTGACACGAGCCTGAATCGCGTGAAGCAAGACAAGCGAGAGACCCAGGAGGCTCGCATGCGTGAATACCGCAATCTTTTCAAGTAGATTCTCTTACCTTTTGTTCTTCTTCGCATGGTTTCGCCGTTCTTCGGCTCCCCAATTCCTCCTGCGTTTCTCATTTTGTTCCCATTTGAATTTTTTGATTTTCCTTTTTGCCTTTTTCTTTCTGCCCCAATCCCGGTGGCTGGTTTCGTTTTATGATACCCGGAAAAGGAGAAGGCGTTAGTATTTATCATTATCACATCTTCCAAGATTTCATTCTCCTTATGAAGATATACCGGGAGCTAATCTTTTCTTTTCTGCGTGTGCCATTCATTGCGTTTAGACATATTTACACATGTAGTAGATTCTGCAGACATGCAATTTTACTCCGAGAAGGGTACAGGAGTCTAAATATGATCCTTGGGACCTCCAATGGTTGAACCTTGCAACGTTACGGTCATAATGTAATAGAAATCCTCTGGTATCCGTGGGATTTATTCATGTGTCTGTGCAATAAAAGACCATCCATCACATAACGCCGAGAGTATAGCAAGGAAATGAAAACCCGCGCCAGTCCTATCTGTTCCGTGTAACTCCGAAATTGCAGGTAAATCGTATAGTTCTGAGCTCATGCAGAATCACTTTTGAGGGTACCCATCCCCATGGATACCCACAGCGACAGCGCCGAGAACATCCTCCAGTCGAGTCCGCAACTTTTTCAACTCCCGGACTTTCACAGCGCGCTCCTTCTCAACGCCTCTAAGCTCTGTCTCCAGTTCCCGGATTCTGGTCTCTTGCTCAGCCTCGGAGGCGCCAATCCCAGGAAGCACAGAGATGAGGTACTCGATCTGCTGTTCCTTGATAATGAGATCGCGCGCAAGCTCCCGCTGCCGGCTCGCAAATGTGCGGGGTGAGTCCGGCGCGGGAGGAAGGTTGGGATCTTGATTTTCTGCTGCTGTCCCTGGTGCGGCTCCAGGTTGTTGAGGAGGCGCAAGCGGCGGTGATGCGTTTCCTGCAACGGCGGCTGCACCTCCCACCTTGTTTGCAATTGATGCTGGGACTGGTGGTGATGATGAGTTCTTGGTGATTTTGGCTAGGGCCGGTGCTGCGTCGGGAACATTAGGCGGTGGTGTTGTGGGGGCATTGTCGTGGTATGTTGTGAGATAGCCAAGTGTTGCATAGAATTGTGTTGCGAGCTATTTTGTCCGTATAGTGAGCAAGGGTTTGAATGTGGGTTCTGCGGAGCGGATTTTACCTGGTCCAGACAAGTCTGGAGCTGCGTGAGAATATCAGCCATGATCGACTTGAAAAGAAAAGTGAAAGAAGCTTAGAGTGGCTTGAAAAAGAAAAGCAGAATGTCTGATCGAGCGTAAGAAGCGGAGCAAATGCGGAGAGAAGCTCCAATGCGGTGAGGCGGGCTTTTCTTCCTCACAACACTCAATGCGCCTGTTGCGACTACGCCATGGCCTTGCTGCCGGATACTCTGCCTTGAGACTCAGACAAGATAACTGTCGCTGCTTTTCTAGCTCCCGGGTTCATCATGAGCTGACACCGTTCACCCGCCGGCTCTTCAAAATCCCCTCGGCCCCTTCTCCACCCGCACAACACCACAATGACCTGACGACATTTCTCTCTTACGCGGAGCATATCTCCCTTCCAGTGACGAGTACGGTACATGTCGGCACACACTACGAGTATACCGTTCTCCAGACCCTACGTCGTTATGCGCTGAGCCTCTCTCGCATCGGCGGTCGCGACGACGCCGGCATTGATCTCGTTGGCACTTGGCACCTCCCGGAGCGGGAGCGAGAGCGCGCACTCCCTGTACTGGTACAATGCAAATCGCTGAAGACCAAACTGGGCCCTAATGTCGTCCGCGAGTTAGAAGGAACATTCCGCCAGGCGCCTGTCGGGTGGCGCACGCGCGAGACGGTTGGCATCCTGGTGAGCCCGCGCGAGGCAACCAAAGGTGTTCGCGACACGTTAGCTCGGAGCACGTACCCCTTGTTCTGGATGACGATCGAACGGGACGGGACCTTGAAGCAGGCACTTTGGAATGCCCGTGCAGAGGTACTTGGGGTTGGCCCTCTAGGTGTGGAAATGCGATATGGAACCACAGAAGATGCCGAGTCTGGCTCAGTTACGAAGGAAATGATATTGACCTGGGATGGATGTGATATCCCCCATATGGACCAAGTGGAGCAGAACCTTACCGAGTTCGCCGAGCAATGGGCCGCATCCTGGGGTATGGACTTGTCGAAAATTCAAAAGGGGGAGCTACTGGATGTTGCAGAGATGGTCCTACCGCGTGACGTCTCCGCTCAGCTGCTTGATCGGACAATATCGGACGCAGACCGGAAGAAGGTTATTCAAGCTTTACAAGAGCGGCTACAACAGCAGCCGGCATCCGAATGAACGCTCTACTACCTGAGAAATATGCTATGTTCAGGCTGGGAAGTGTAAAGAAGAATTGTATGACTCATGACAGAAAATATCCAAGGGTATAGAGAAACACCAACAGCGATAGAAAGACACAGCTTCCAGCCTCCAAAAAAGAAAACGCCAGAGAGCATGGACACCCATAAAACCATCCTTCGTAATGATCATCCTTGCATCGTGGACCAAAAGTAGTTTGCGTAGAAGAAGCGGGAGAATTTCGGGTCGATATTGACGACATGAACATCGCCCTTGCGGCTATTGCGAATAACCGCTCGGTTGAAATTGCCCGCCTCATCGGGCTCGATATCAACACCGAGAGAACGGAAGATCTTGAGCCGTAGACTGAATAGGTATTAGCAAGAGTATGAACCCAGGACCGGCAGACAGGAACGCACATTGTCGCATCATCAGCCTCACGCTCGCGCCGCGTTGTTTCGTCGCCCTCGAGACCTTGTGACTCTAGGTCCACCAGTCTTTCCTTAAGGATCTCCAGCTCGCTCTCCAGCCGCTCGCTTTCAATTTCTAGTTCTGATGCAGCCTTGGCGATGCGAAACTTCTTGGTGTCCAACTCCACGATCTCCGCGGCGTGTTTGCCCGAGTCGTGCACGGCCACGGCTTCTTCATGCTGGGTAGATAGGGCATTCAGGTGTCGTGAAAGTTTCCGCATGGCCGACTCAGCCTCACGAATGCGCAGATCGCGTGATTGCTGAAGGGTTGCGAGCGAGTCATTGATGCGTGTGACGGCTTGTTTATCGGGGTGGATGTTGAAGTTGCCGATCGTGTGATGGATGAGCTAGAACTGTCAGTAAATTCCTTAGGTCTGATTTATAAGTGAAATAGAGCAGCACATACAGTTCCAGGGTCCTCGTCGAGCAACATGGTGTCGGTGGTTATAGGCGTCGACGTGGAGAGTCGGTTGTTTCGGGTTTGTTGCGGCAGCAACAGCCACAGCAACGCCACATATGTTGCTCCTCCGCAAAGTGACGTTGCGTTTGTGATTTCTCCGTCCTCGCTTTTACCTTCCCCCCTAACGCAACCACGATTCTTACGTTTGACAAACTGGTATCGAATCTTTGGGTCTTGTTCTGATCAATATCCCCCCGTCTAAAAACCATCAAATCCCTATCTCGCCATGTCCAACCTTCCATGTATGTGGTTTGTTCCGGCTGATGCCTGATGCTCGAAAACTGACATGCTTCGCCGCTCTAGATGCCGCCGATGCGGAAAGGTTTGTTTTCCGTGAACAAATCGGCGAATGGAAATGTCGCAACTGTAAAAACTGACCTAAATATCACCGACACAGTCCCTTGAAACCCGCCGAGCTACAGGTCCTGAGAGCGCAATATGAGAAAGAAGGCGACTATGTTGGGATCCAGACAAAGTTCAACTACGCATGGGTATGGTTTGTCGAGTTTTGATCAGGTATGCCCGCGCTAACCGGTACACCCCGCCTATGCGGGGATGTTATTGACTACAGGGTCTTATCAAATCCAACATCCGTTCCGAGCAGCAAGAAGGTGTTCGCCTGCTTTCAGAGATCTTCCGCGGAGCTCCGGAGCGGCGACGCGAATGCCTCTATTATCTGGCCCTCGGCAACTTCAAGCTAGGCAATTACGGCGAAGCCCGCCGATACAACGATTTGCTCCTAGAGAAGGAGCCCGCAAACCTCCAGGCTGCCAGCCTTGGGTCACTCATCGATGATAAAGTCGCCAAGGAGGGCCTTGTGGGTGTCGCGATTGTAGGCGGCTTGGCGCTCGTCGCGGGTGTAGTTGGTAGTCTGGTGGTCAAGGGAGCCAGAAGGCGATAAAACACCTGTTGAGGATTGGCATGGCCTGAAAATGCCATGACAGCCGAAAGGGGTGTCCGTTTGGAGTATATCAAACCTATGTATATTTTTCGTGTGGGATCTGATTCATTGGCTGTTGGCGATTTCCTTTCTATTGTCGGAGCATCCGAGGGCGTTATCTTTGTCTCTACTCTCTCTATCTCTCTTTTCCCCCCCCTTTTCTATGCCACCAGTAAGTAGGGTGGTGGTATGCTACATATATTACATATATGCCAATCATACACGACCTAAAATTTATTCATACGTGGACATACGTAGGTTGCAGTAGCAAAATGGTTTGGCCACATTCATACATCGGTAAGGACTTCTACGGGCTTTCCCTTGACAGCCTTGGAGGTGAAGGCAGTATGACTCGTCTAGCTTTAACCTGATAAGTACTCCTGTCCCTAAATAAACCCGGTTATAAATGTGGCAATTAATTGCAATTAGTTCTACTCAATCAGTGCTAAATACAGGCAACCAGATCAAGCCTGGAACTCCTTCTTCGCAACCCTTTCACAAAGGTCACGCAAGACAACCCCAACGGATTCAAAATCACTTGTCTCCAGATAAATCTGGCCGCTCAGACGAGTCCATAGCCAAGGGCCATGGCGGAAAACTGGCAGGAAAGTGTTATGCTCCCCCAGCAACTGCGTCTGAATCCAAGAAAATGCCTTAGGGGCTTCTTCCTCAGACAACACAACTAAAGGGGCGTGGTCAAAAGATTCAGGCTCTTTTCCGGCCGGAGCAAAAGCAATAGGCAGTCGGACCGTAGTCATGGCACACTGGCGCATACGGCTCTCCTGGCCAGGCTTCAGATCAGGTTCTTGCATGACATCAGTACCGAGAGCGGCAGCAACAGCATCTGCGCCTTCATTTGCAATACGCTGGTTGTAGGCAATAATAGCATCCTCGCCTCCGCAGACTTCGGCACGGAACTTCAGCGCTGCCGGGACGCAGAGGTACGCAGAGTCATCACTGGTGGCAACGAACTCGAAGAGTTGCTCGAAGGCTGTCTTTGTCACGGGAGCACCATGGTCTTTGAGCACTGAAGCGATAGTCTCAGGAGAGTCCGGAGCTGGGATAAATCCCCAAGATGTTGGCATGGTGCTGCGTAATAGATGCTGATTACGTCGGGGAGTGTAGAGGACTGCACAGCTGCGAGGTGTATAGAGCCATCTTTATGAAACCGAGTTAATATTCAAGGGCTATTTGCTGAAGTTATTGGCAAAAGTAGGATGATGGGGGATAGTTCATACTTGTGACAATTTGATACGAAGAAATCCGGCTGTAGCTTCTCCATATCGAGATGGATATTTCCCACGCCGTGCGCAGCGTCGATGACACTCAAAATACCCTCTTCACGACAAATTGCAGTAATGCGTTCAAAGGGGAACCGCACACCAGGATTACTGACAATGGCGTCGAAGACACTGGCCCGGACTTTGAGTCCCTCTTCACGAGTTTGGCGAATCACCTCGAGGAAACGGCGTACCAGCTCGTCTTCGGGAATTGGAAACTGGAAAGACACTTTTCGCGATTGCAAAGAGCTATGCTCCTGTAGCGAGACAACACCCTTCTCAACAGCACCGTAGACGGGCTCAAAGTAAATGAGTGCCTCACCTGGTTGGAAAGCCAAGTTATACAGTACCGTCGCTACGCCTGTAGTGGCATTTTTAACAAACACGCACTCGTCCCGCCGAGCATTGAGGATCTTTGCGATAGCCTCACGAGCTTCATCCAGATACACTGCGTTATGTTTGCGGATATATGGATCTGGCCGCAGATCGGCGAGATCCATGAACGCACGTTGCGCATCCTTAACGGGAATCGGATGGGCACCGAATGATCCATGGTTCAGGCTCTTATAGGCGGGATCAAACATCCAATGCTTCAGCATCGGCTTGCCGAAGGGAGTGGATTGACTTGTCGCGGTCATGTTGGGGGGGTGCAAGAAAGCTTGGAAATAGTCGTGGGATAAGTTCTGACCACCACGAACTTCAACGGGAGGAAGAGAATTTAAACACGAAACCAAAGCGCAGTGACTCAAGTTGGCTCTATGATAACTTTAGCATTGCTTCAAACACCGAGAGGGGTGAGTCACGCCGAGCCAACCCCTCTTGCGGTGCTACCCGGAGATCCACATGCCGCCGAAGGGCGTAGAAGTAAAGCATCGCCTGGCATGTTATACGAGGCTGAGATAGGAGGGGACAATGTGCATGAGATCTGGATGCTGATTTGCATTGCTTGCATTGACACGCTTGTATAGATAGGTCTTGAGAACCACGACAATGCGGCTTCTTGCCTACCACAAAAAGAGAGTGGTTTTATAGTCCGTCCTAACACAATTGTAACATACAAGGTGCAAGATCGCATTATTCTGTTTTAGATTAAATATTCAAGAGCTTGAAGACGCATAAGAGTAATTTATGAGTCTATACATGTATGTTATGTCGTTTCTGATCCACTCTATATGCAATCATCTAAAGGAGCTAAGGGAGCCAAATGTATCATGAAAATACAAGAGTGACTTCAATTATATAGATGGCTTTCTAACCGTGAGTTCTTACTATCAATCTCAGAATTGCCCAATTTCAGGAATCGGCAGCAAGGGAACAACGTGGACACTGGATGGACGGGGGAGGCATTGTCTTGGAAACCTGGGGCAGTCATTGCTAGTATGTACAGCCAAATGGGCTATGGTCAATTGTCTGAATGGCCGGGCACATGCCCTGTGTTCGTGTATACATTATATATTTACAAGTAGAGATGTTCGTTACAGGTTACAAAGATTATCGAAATCCCACGGCCCACTAATCGTTGCCAGCCGAAGAGCTTTTTCAACGCTCTGCCGTCGGAATGCCGGTCCATTCCCAACACATATGGCTTCTTTTGAGAGGGCTACAGTGGTGTTAGTGGACTTCTTCAAGACATTCTGTTCCCCGGAACTTACATTTGATGAAGGCTATTATATCAAGTGATGGCGAGACTGAATAACCATAACGGCCAGGGGAATCGGGGAAGTTCTCAAAGATCGCTCTCTTGTCGCGCAGGTATCGTTGAACTCCGATGGCATCCATCCATTCACCAGAAGCTGCTTCGAGCGCAATCTGCCATGTTCTAGATGAGACCTGGAGTTGTTCATTCGAGCCTGTGTTCATATTTGACAGCAGGGGTTGAAGCACATTAGCCTTGGGGTCTGTCAAAACACCGGTATCCTCCTGCATGACAGCGTAAAAGGCTGAGATCAGATTGTTCCGTTGTTGCAGACTGAGCGTAGACCCAAAGATATGCTGGACTATGGAACTGTTTGGATTGTCGATGAGAAGGCGATATCCCAGCTCAGAGCAAGTCCGGACTATACGTTGTGCGATACTCCACTGCCTGGGAGGCGTTATATTACTAGAGTGTGGATCTAGTGTCGAGGACTTCGATAATGGCGGATTGACATGAGGAAATTGAACAGTAGGTGATGATATGACGAGGTCGAACGGCAGAATGGAGTAACCTTGATATGGTGGAGTAGGAGGGCCGGGCCAGCTCGTAGCAGCTGATCGTATTATATCCTCGGCATCTGTTGAAGCTTCTGAGTATGCGCCATCCAGAACTGATGTTGGGGCTGTATTATTATTTGTGATTTCAGACTCTTTTGCGGCCCGAACGACGGGGAGGGCTCCCTCAGTCGGATCATCACTCCCAGCCTTCGCAAGCGACACGCATTGCTGAGTTATGTTTTGAAGAGCCGATGCGATATGCGGATATTGTGAGAGGAGTTCCTCTTCTATAAGAAGACTACTGAAGGAGAGGAAAGAGTGGCTGATATTCTCGATACCGGTTTCTAATTCGTGTACGCGGTTCTGTAGGTTACCGATCGTGGTCTCCTTTCTTTTGCGATATGCCTGCTGCGCAAGTCGGAGTTGTTTGCGACGTCTCTAGAAATTAATTATTATGAGCATATACACTTGGAGCGTTGGGATTTGGCCCACCTCTGGCACTTCTTGGTCATCGGTGACGGTTCGAGGACGACCGCGTTTGCGACCACTCGGTTTAGTCGTTTCTTCGCCCATTGTCCGCAATTGGATATGTGAGAAGTTCCTGTCTTGACGTATATCGGAATCGTGCAGGCCGTGGAGATCTGTAAGAAGCATGACAGATGCAGAGGCGATACGATGATTATATGACTTAGCCGAGGAGTCGGGATGTTGAATAATCCGGAAAATCAAGTGGATGCGGCGGGTGGATGACATAAGATGGCGATCGACCTTCCATGGTTGGATTCGGTCCTCGGGTGGGTCTTTGGATGCTCATGTGCTCTCAGAATTCCTATTGGTCGCTCTACTGGTCATCTATGATGGACCCGCTTTCCTCTCCTTAATTCATACTACAACGCACCTACATGTATCAATAGGAAGATACGATAATGGCCATCACAATGTTGCGGCAATGCATCTGGATGTCAGAATATCAGGACACTCAATGTCAAATTAAGCTCGAAAGAAAGCAGCGCACCCGTGATAAGACCCATTTATATTAGGTTTCCTTTTTAGAAGTCGCCCCATTCGCCGCGGACGACACCTGCAATAGACATGAAGGGAACTCCGAGATGTGCTTACATACGAGGGACTCTACACAAATGGTGATAAGATATTCTGGGTATGCCTCCTACGGCCGTGTCCATCTCATTTCCCGTCAAGAGCCCCCATGTTGTCCCTTCGTTGGCCGCGGCGGCTATGTTGTGTGGTGGCGTTACGCTCTACAGCAGCAATGCAGTCTAGGCCTTAAATCACACCAACCGAGATGTTTCAGAGAAAACAGTGGAGGGATGGCCATGATAGTGCCTGACACACCTCGGTCCAGCAGATGGAAAGCAACGGTAGAGAAAAAAGTTACAGATGGTTAAAATATTATCTAGATCTCCCAAAACATTGTAGCTCTACACTTATGTGTCCATCGCATCTATCATACTGGACCTCTTCATTCATCATAGACCTCTCAGGAAGCAACCGAACTCGAAGTGTGCACTAAAAAGCCAGCTGGATTGAAGCAAAAACTGTAAAATGGAGCTCTATTTTATAATGGCAAATGTCATAAGGGAGAGGTTGAAGTGTCAAGCAGCATTAGTGGAACCAGAAAGAGTCGTTAGACTGGACAAAGCGCTTTCCTATACGGAGACCGTGGCTAACAAAGTAGTTAAAGACATAAGCTTCCTCTAACGGATGAGGCTGGTATGACTTCTCATTTTCGTATTATATCATCACTTGCAGTGGTAACTCAGCGGTATGTCGCTTGAGCTCATCTTAGCTTCACCCTGAGATCGGGATTACTGTACCCCAGCACCGCGATAAGGTGTGAGCTCATCGCTGGGTGGGGGCACCGTAGCCTGGGAGTTTCCTCGTCAGGCTTTCGTCGGCAGCAGTAAAAATAAATAAGGGTTAGCACAACTATTTCCCACCCCACTATTAAAAATACATGTTAGTGTATATTCCGAATAAATCTATCGATAGATTTTGTTCCCCTGTGGCTTTGATGATTTTCTTTTTGGTCAGTTTCGGCATCAAATTTTCCGATAAAAGCAAGAAAAGCAAGATAAAAATAATCAGAAACAGAGACTTAGCTTGATTCTCAGAAAGGCTCTTCACCATTTCCGAGGAACGGGGGCGGCGCCAGCTTGCTCCTGGCCACGCTGCACGCAGATTGCAATCCATCGCAGCCCATCGACATGAGGCTGCTCTTCGGAAGCGTTAAGTATCTTACTAAATGGTCTATATTCGATACTATGCTCCTTCCGGTAGTGCTTGCGGACAATACTCTTCTGGGTGTACCGGTTCACCTTCTTTGAAGAGCAATCTGGATGCCGGCAAAAGATTTCGCCTCGGTAGATTATAGGATCTTCGAGGTCGATACGAGGGGCCTTATGAAAATCAGCAGGGTCAATACTCAGATATGGCTTCACTCCATTATCTGATCCCGTTGGCTGTTCTTCGACTCCTTGCACTCGGACCATGGTTCCTCGCTTCTTCCGAGTCTTGGTTTCCGGTTTGCCGTTCTTCTCGCTGCCTGGGTTCTGGGGACAGTTAACCTGGATATGTCGGTCTTGAGTCTAGGGTTCGGAAAACTCCTTTTGACAGAAAGGGCAATATAGCCATCTAACTTTCAGTTCATCACTCTCCCACACTCGGTGCACTTTCGCGCAATGGCTAGTAAGGATCACAATATTCCTAAAACCCCTGCCGCAATCACTACAGGTCCACTTAGTATAACCTTCTGGGCGAAGGAATGTGTTTCGACGAGAGGAAAGCCTATACAGATCCCGAAACATCCCACCTAAAGCCGCCTTACAAGCTTGGATACCTTTATAGTATTTAGCAAAAGCCTGGAGAGAAGGATTCTCGTCAGTGGCCTCAATATCTTCACGTAACAGTCCGTATGCGTCCCGAAGTGTGACATCGCGGAAACGCCGAGATCCGTTATCGTTGTCTTCAACGTAGAACCGGAGGGTGACATCGACCCCCTCGGCACGCTCACTAAGCTTCGTTCGTCATGCTCAGATCATGAGTGGTCAACCCGTCCCAGCCAGATATCACTAGAATTACACCGCAGCCAGCATCACGTGCTTTCTCAAAAACGACAGAAAGCGTTGTTACAACCTCACCATCCGTTGGAAGTGGTCGGTTTGAACTTTGGACGAAAGGAATAAAGCCCACAGAACGACTGTCAAGGCTGCCATATTCCTGCAAATGTACTTGCTCTACCTAGTGAAGGGTCTCGAGTAGCCATTCCCGTTTCACCTGGCGACTGGGAGCTGCAGTGCTGCGTGCAGTGAACATGATAAATGGACCGGTGCGGGTTGAGTGTGGACCAGCCACGATGGAAGGACCTTCGTGGGTCTCGTCGATTGCGTGTGGCTCAAAATCAGTGGTCTCTGCCATCTTCACGTATATAGTGTTCAAATAGGTAACACCGTAAACTCTGGTGGAGTTAGAAAAGCTAAAGAGAGAAGAAGAGAAGAAGAGAAGAAGAGAAGAAGAAGGCGTACTGAAATTCAGGCAGGCTGGCGAAAAAAGAAAATTAGAAAGCACCGAGCGTGGGTCGAACACGCTACCTCGCGATAACTACCGATATTGCAATCGCACGCTCTACCGATGAGCTACCGGTGCTCTTATGTTGAATTAACTTCCATTTTTGAACCAATTACCAATACACCTGCCACGTAATTCTGACAGTACGACTTTATACGGCTAAATCAGCATTTTATACATCCAAAATAGGTAATTTCTTGGCAAGTTATGCAGCTGCAGTACCATATCGATACTACTGTGAGGTACTGCAGTACCGATAAACAGTACCAAAATCTGCTTGGTACTGCAGTACTTGTCAACGTCTATGCTTGAGGAAGAATATTGACTAACTAGATAGGGTCTTTTATAGACAACCCCCAGACCGCCTTCCAGATCCGTCACAGTAGGTAGGTCCACTAGTCCACAGGTAGCTACTCCGTACTGGGCGTAATAAAATTTACTAGTCAATCTAACAATTTCCTTTTTTTCCTTCCAAGCATCCATCTACTTAGATTTTATACTTCCTTCATTGAGTGTCAATTGCAGCAAAATTTAGATAGCGGCTAGAGGCGCTCGTACTGCATATTAGGGCCGAGCACCAGTCGGTCATTATCAATCAATTTATAGAAAAATATATAAAAAAATAAAAAAAATCACCGGCCGTGATTCACGGGACTTCAAGATTAATTAATTAGATTCGCCGGTAAGGTATCTCAAATTGCAATCTTACACTCTAGCCAAGTGAGTTACCGGTGCTGGGCTTGTTTTCATCTCGAAGTTTAGAAATATAAAGCACGAAAATGGCTAACCGCAACTCGGAGACGGGTTTAACGTCGTAATCTGTGTTATATATCCAACATATGAAATATCTTAAAGTTCATACAACGGCATCAATGAAATAATTCTAATAATACTACACTACTAACTTTATGAAATATGATACTATAGAACTACCTAGGTACTAGGTAGGTACAACGTACTGGCTACTAGACTAATTACAATCAATTTTAATATGTCAGAAAGCATCGAAACCGCTAACAGCTTCCTATATAACGTTGGTATCACCGCCTTGCTAACCATAGCCCTTCGGTAGTCTCGAATGTGTATCAACACTAGCCCCCATACCGGCCCGGGCGCGGACCTAGAGCACAATGAACATAGTAAAGCGATAAATATAAAGAGCATGTTTTCGCCGGTAGAGGAGATAGATACATATAGAGAATATACAGGAAGAAGAAGAGGACCTGAACTAATAAATAGTCTCGAAAATCTGGAAAGTGGAATTTCACAAGGAGTTACGGAAATACCTGAATGATTGCACTCTTAAGCTCACGACCCCATACGTATAGGCATTCGAGACCCCGTCTGCGACTGCTGCAGCAACCACGGGAGCAGCTGTGATCAATGAACCGGCAGGTCGAGCGGCCGCAGCGCCAGGTGTTTCGGTCGCCGCGGGGGCGGTAAACGACTTCACGACTTCACTCCCCCAGTGACGTCCATCTTGTAGTAGCTGCTGGCTGCCGTCGAATAAGTCGCCGAAGAAGAGGACGATGAGGCGGTACTATCTCCTCTTACGGTTCCACCCATGCTAGCGCTCATGGTGCAGCTGGCAGATTCGGACCAAAATTTGAAAGAGCAGTCATACGTTTCGGTAACGGTAACATCGTAACCGTCTGCGCCTGGATTGGTGGCGACGTATTGTGCAGCGAAGTTCACGGTCTCGGGACCTTGGGTAATCGTCCACGAAGTGGCAATGTCGCAGTCTGATTTGGCGACGTCATCCATACAACCGACATGGTATGTGGTGGCTTCGGCATTGATACCAGCGACGCTGGCAGCAAAGCTAGTCACGCCGGGGAGGTTATTGTCCCACGTGGGGGAGAAGAGTCCAATGGTGGTGCGGGTGCTAGATTCATTGGCTCGAGCACCGAGTGATGCGAGGAACGCAGCGGCAAAGATAGAGGTACGCATACTGATAGTGTTTTTCAAATATTCAGGGTGAAGTTTAGCAGAGAGGCGAGTCGACTAAAAGTTCTAACATCTGGGGCAAACCGTTCGCTTTAAATCAAAGACAAACCAAGCTACTATGAAACTTCGCTTATAGAGCAATTCTGGACGACTGAGCTAGGTTAGCGTAGACCAAGAGGGTACTAGTGAAGTGTGCTAGTCTGGGCTATTTTCACCATTGACCCATTCGACCTTGAATCGTTGGGCTGAACGAGAATAGGACTGGCGTTCGACTACCTTGCTAGCGTTACAACCGAGTAGCAAAGAACTTCAATTTTGGGGGACGGACCCCGCTGAATAATACATCACAAGGGCCCTGATACGATGTATAACTACCGTGTAGAATTCCGAAAGGAATAAAGAAATGCGAATACAAATACAGGAACAATTTTATTCGCGCGAATTGTTGAGATGAAATGATTGTATTGGGTCTCAATACCATTTACAGTATAGATTCCCAACACCCGCAAGATTGTTCCAGTGATCACGGCAAGCTGCACAAGCGACATTTTACCCTCAAGCTCCATCTTCGCCTCACTGGAAGCATTTTCCAGCAAGGCCTTCCAAAACCGCGTTTCCATTTCTTCATAAATTGGTCGTTCCGTAAATTCGATCTCCCCCGTGTCCACGGTCAAGAATTCTCCCGCCAGAAAATGTATCCCCCAGCCACAAATGCCAAAGGGGAGTGTGCGAGACTCCTCCCAATCGATGATACCGCGGACGATTCCCGTATCCTCAACAAACACATTCATTGGGTTAAGGTCTAGGTGTGAGAAAAACCCTGGAAGCTCGTTGAGTTGAGGGGAAGCAGTGATAAGCTCTTCCACAAGCGGGAAGTAGGATGATACGTCGACTTCAGAGCGATTGGGCATCATGAGAATTTTTCTGAGGGTCGGTTGAATATACGTTGCGATTGCTCCTTCGTCCCTCGATACGAAACAATGAGATAGCAGTCGGCCTAGAGACGTTGAACATTCGAGGAGGGCATCGGGTTTCCAGCTACCCTCGATCTCCAGCCACGAATTCCCTGGCATTCTATCCATGCAGAATGCGAAGACACTCTCAGAAGCCAACTTTGGATCGGAGATGGGCTCAATGTTTGGAGCCGAGGAGCCGAGGAGCTGTCGAGCCGTAATGATAGGGGTGATGTCTAGGGGCTCTGTCCTGAGTTGGATGATTTGACTGGTGCCATCTTCCAGTATAACCTCGAAAGTGATACTCGAGGTTCCTTGTACAGAGGCAAGTTTGATAGAAGTCGGTCTCTGGTGAAAGTGGCTGGCTACCAAGTCTCCGGCAAGCTTTTCTTGTTTCTCCTCGGTGCTAATGCACTCTGGGAGCGGTCCGTCCATGATGGTGGGCCCGGGAAGGAAACGGGAAGGAGATAATATCGATCATGTGCCGGATTTATAAAGCAACTTCAAAGGACCATCTAGGTAATAAATGATGACCGCGCAAAAAGAAAATTTCAGTGAAGGCAAATATGAATTCGAGCCCAACCCCGCATCACTAGGATAACAGGCTACCGCACCCCGGTCTTCGCGTTCTTACCCGTACCAGAATCCAATTAAATGCGTACACGCCTTGCGCTCGAGGCGTGTTACTGCAGCCTTCCTTATACGGAACTTCCCAGAAGGCTCTGCAGTTTACTAGTCCAATCGCGCCGCAGATACGTATCATACACCGACTTGTGTTGTATCGCATTAACCTATCGCATTAACCGAGCAGTTGTCCAGCCGCATCAGAAGCCAATTATAAACGCACACGTCTTCTGCTTAAGGCGTGCTCCTGCAGCCTTCTTTATCTGGAACTCATTCTGCACCTGTCTAGCCCAAGTGCGCCGCAGATTCATATTCAAATGTTATCTGTACACGTCATATAGCCTCAATCGATCAATCGTTTAGTCTGTGCCCTCCCAAGGTGACACCGGCAATTAAGGCCTGGATTGATGTCCCTTTGGGGCTTATCTATCCGAACGGGAGTGAAGGCCAATGCATTTGATCCTGCTTTCTTCATTTGATAGAGCAGTTCCGACAAAAGTGGCTATCCATCGCCCCGTAACATTTGAATCATCAATAACATTGAATTGCTCTAAACCGAGTCAAATTCTTTTTTTCACAAAATCTGCCAGAATGCTCTCCTCCGCGAATTCTCTGACTGAGTCCTTTCTCCCCTCGGAAATTTACAATCAACTCCCACGTATCTGCCTGGATACGGTGTGGGACCAAGAAAAAGACCAGTTCATGGCACGTCGTGAGCTGCTTCAAGTCATCGCCGATAATGGCCTTGACGATATTTTTGGAATTCATACTCTACACCGACATTATGATCTTCCGACAAACCATATCATGGTCTATGAACAAAACCCCAGTCCGGGCACGGCAAACATTCCCTTCTTCGAAATTTGTCGCACACGCCGTGTAGATCAGCTTTCTCTGGGTCGTCGTCTCCGGGGAAAGTTTTTCTTCTATCGCCCTGACATGGAAATCATGAGCGCCTACGAGTTTACCACGGAGGATCTCCCCGATGTCGACGGTGGCAAATATCAAGCCTTTGTCAACAAGTTTATCCACCGCTTGCTTGAGTTGAAAATGGATCGTGTCTTTGCGCTGTCTGTTCTACCGCCTCAGAAAGAACGCAGAATATTGCATGAGATTGAGATTCCTGAGTACAGTGCGACTTTGCGACTCGAAAGCGCAAATTGGGTCCCAGATGGCTTTAACACTGATTGGATGTTAGCGCCTGCCATGGAAGGCAGCCTCCAGCAGATTCCTGCTAATGGTTCATTCCGGCAGATGAGTAATGGAGGAAAACATGCGGCTTCAAAAAAAACTGCCCAGCATAGTAGTATTGGATTTATCGACCCTGTGACTGATTCCACTAGCCTGGGAATTGCTTGGGATGACAGCCATATGCTTCCCGGATCAGCTGCATATAATCTTGTCGCCCAAGCAAGGGATTTTATTATCTCCTAGTCATACGTTCGTGTCGAATTTATTAATTTTACCGCCTATGTAGTTTGGGAATTGATACAGACACCGCACGTTTTACTAGACGTACCACAAATTATGTAATACCCCCATCACATACGGAGTAATGAGTGTCTCGAATGAGGAGTCAATATACCTGAGGCTTGGCGAGCATCTTGAGCAGCCAACTGAAATGGCTTTGCTGCCTGAAGCTGCTGCCTATTTGGTTAGCAGTAGGTGATATGAAAGCACGCCATGCCGTTGGAACACGTTGTGTGTCAGCGCAATTAATGCTGCAATCCTATCCCAATATGGTAAGCGCTGAGGTGATACTGGTAGTGCCTCGTTTCATGGCGCACGATACATGCAACGTCAGGGCTACTACCAATACTGTAAACTAATTGGCTCTTGTCCAGCGAGCTTGAAAGCTGTAAGTATTCAGGTGAGCGAGAAAAAAATTGTAACTGGTCTAACAGCCTTCTAGACCCTGGACAAAATATAATGGCCGCCTCGACCGGGGCCCCTCACAAGGATGCCAGAAATTAGCGCAAAGGCGAAGGCCACTGCGGGGACCCACCCTTCAGCTGATAAGCCAATGACGCCAGCCCTCATTGGGACAGCGTGGGTATCTGGCTGAGAACCGTCGTGCGCATTTCCCGGCTGCATTAAAAGATAAATACTGTACATGAGAACCCAAGACTCTGCTGAAGAAAATTTTCATGTGCTATCCACCATAGTCTTCAAATATTTTCAAGTCTATTCTGTCCTAGCTACCCGCTACTTTTCGCATATACATATACAACCATGACTGCCTGCAATGAGAACACTCATCTCGTTAATAGCAAGACTAGTAGCGAGCCTAAACCCGTGAATTTTGGCAGTGGAAAATGCATGGGGTGCTCACAATGCACACGCTACAATGGCTCCTCCCCGGGGAAATGTTACTGCGGACATGCATACGGAGAGCATTCAGAGAGCACCTCGAATTAATCCACCTCCTTGAATCCAGCCTGCCTACAAGGTATGTATATCCATGGTTCCAATACCTCGCCTATAAAGCTTTTGCTCGTGGATGTACATCTCTAATCCAAATTGACTTGAAGATCATGTCGCTATCCAATGACGCAGCTATAATCCACCTTCGTTCTCTAATAGCGATGACGAGTCGCGCAAAGCACCATGGCATGGTTGCGTTAGTAGTTGGCCCCGGGTGAAGTGGATGGGCTTATACAATATTAGTAGTAACACGCGCGCGGAAGCTCTTGAATCTTCCATCCTTTATTCACATGGTGTCCTGTTTTGTTCTGATATTCGACGTATCAAGTTGCTCTTATTCCTTATCCCTCCTCTCGCTTCAAACCGTAAATGCGTAAATGGTATAGAGTCGAATAGGCTGCGGCAAAACCGCGGTTTTGGGTATCATAGTCAATACCACAACCGCAAATTTTATTATTATAATAAAGCTTTAAAATAGATATAGCTTTATTATTTTTCACTCCTATAGAGGGGGTTTCTATAGGAGTATATAGGTTATCTTTTTGTAAAGGTATACTGTTTCCAGGTGTATGGCCTGTCAACCGGGTAAGATACTATGGCTTGGAGGAGAACACAATGTATTGTCTGGAGTGCCAAGACTAATTCTTGCCAGTCCCTTTTTGGGACCCTG